TTCTTCCATGATAATTGAGAAGGCATTAAGGGCGTTCTTGAAAGGGTGTTCGGGGAGTTCTTTGAGAGGGGCATTCTTGATACCTCTCTGAATGATACTTTTGTTTTCCTGATTCCTAATAAAGAGAGGGCAATGAAGGTTAAAGACGTTAGACCCATTAGTCTGAACACAAGTGTCTATAGGATTATTGCTAAGGTTTTGGCAAAGAGATTGAAGAGGTCCTTCCATCAACGACTTCAGAATTCGAGGGTGCATTCGTTGTAGGGAGACAAATCATTGACTAGGCTCTTACAGCTAATGGGCTATCAAGGATTGCAGAGGTTGTAAGTAGGAGAGAGTTATTCAGTAAGCTGTTTTGTAAACAGTTGACTTGGGAATGGTCTGTCTGTATATAGCCAAGAGAAAACTCTGGAATGTTGGTGATATGGTATTTTTCTTTGGGCTATGTACTTCTAAAATAAAAAGTATGTTGTGTATAATATGGATTAATAACATTTGTTTGTGAGAAGGGAAAGTGAAACTTTGACTCTTCAAATAATAAGATATTTTAAATGCCTTGCAAATTTGTTGTTCCTATCGCCCGGTCACCCAATTTCACCTTTGGGGTTTTGTTTATTTGGAACTTGAAACATTTTCGTCTCGTCCTCAGTTTAGAAATATCACTAGGAGAATACTGCATATGTTAGCATGTGCCATGTCACAGGGTATGCCCAGTCACGTTGCATTTACTGTCTAAATTGATTTTGTTAAATATTTTTTTGACATAGAGGGGATGGGTTCCGATGATTCAAATTAAACAAATTTAAGTTCGGGCTCTTAGAAACCTAGTTTGACAAAATGTCTCCCAAGGGTTATTGTCATGGGGTGACCTAAGTGGACGGTAGTTTTTGTTTTTGTGAACCCCAATGAAAATTACTTTTTGTCTTGCTCTTAATTCCTACATTACACGTGATTGTAATTTATTTTATTGCCACTTTATTCCAATGTTAAATCTCCACTAGAATTTTTTTTAGAAAAGAATTGTTTGCATGGTCGTATTAACTCCGGTTCTTTGGGGTTCTTACAACTACAGAACTACATCTTATAGAAGGGATCCCCCAGCTAATTTTTGTTCGCTCAAGTTACACTATAGAGGTTTGTTCACTCCTTCGTTTCTTGAGTCCTCAAACTTGTTGCAATTCTTGTTATTGAGTTTCTCACACATTTCTTACTCTTCAAAGACGGTAGAAGCTGAGCGAATTTCTGTTGATCATGTTGCACATTTGAAACCATCTGATGGAGGCTCTGCTGCAACTCAACGTGAGTGATCCTGTACCTCTTTTAGTTCAATCTGGGGTTAAAACTTCGTTATTACTTATTGCCTTTCATGTTTTGATTTGGTAATCATATATCCATAATGAGAGAAATTTGATCTTGAATGCAGTGGCTGCTCACCTTGCGGGTATTCACAGTGCCATCAAAATGCTGAACAGCAGAATCAGGATACTTCACAGTTATCTTCTGGCAATGCAAAATGGTATTTTCAATTCTTTACTGTGCATAAAAATGTGTACAATGAAAAAATTGAGAGTACAGAAAGCAGGGTGGGTATTCCTTTTCTTTTTGCATCTGAACATGACTGCTGCATTTGGTGGTTTCTGATGTCTAGTGAATTCTTCATGGAAAACTTGCGATTAAATGGCTCAATTTGAGATTGATTTTTTCGTATCGGTTATTCTCTGAATCAGGTGATATTCCTCTGGAGAATTCTCTACTAAGACAAGTGTCTAGTTTACTCAGAAGATTACCAGTTATTGAATCAGAAAAGTTTCGAGATGATTTCTTGACGGTGAGTACTCTCGCATCTCACATGTCTCATTCGCTTGGCCTTGATTTTCCTGCAGTTAAAAACTTCAAACATTTGCTCCAAAATTTTAGACATTACCTTGATTTTGTGATTAGTTATTCATACTTCCATAATCTCCCACCTTTCTTTCAGGAATATACTGACACAATGTTGATTACGTACCTAGCAATGTCCACTAATTGCTCAAGGTGTGATATTTCTGATCTCGTTTTATACTTTTTCTTTGTAGTGTATGAAAATATTTTGTTTAGTAAATTATATATTATACATCTCTAGATGTGGAATACTACATAGGACTGCTAACTAGATTAGAATCACAAACATATGCCCGGTAACATATGATCTTAAAAATAGAATCAACACTTGGGCAATGCCAAATGTGTGGCAAGTAAAAATACGTTTTTAGAGCAGTACATGTTTCCACTTCTACATACTTAGACTCACACGAACCTTTTCGGATATAAAATTCAAAACAAATAACAGGTCCCACGAACAAAAACCTCTCATCTCAAAATCATTTCTCACACCTTTTACTGATCGCTTTATTGGTTTTATTAAGTGGACTTTTTAGTTACTATAATGTTTCATTTGTACTATTATAAACTATTTCTTAGTCCCATAATGTAAATATGAAAGTCAAATTGAAGATTTTATCAATTAGTTTATTTCCATGTATATATTTACTTCATACTAGACGCGTCCATCACTTGTTCCAAATATGTTTGAATTTAGAAAGGAAAAGATTACATTCTAGAAAACTCTCGGTTTGTACTTCTACCTTCCTAGTTTGTATAAATCTCCTGATGTAAACATACGGGTGCATGTAGGTTGGTCAACTTCAAAATGTCTGGTTGATTGATTAAGTTAATTGAACTTTCTGTTTTCTTTTTCCTTTCTTTGTACAACTTTCCGTTGATAATATATTATTATTGTGAGAATGTCAAGTATTAAGTTGATGGTATAATTACTATTGTGATCTTATGCCCTGTTCTTGTTGGAAAAAAATAAATATTTGTTGATCTGCTAACATGATACTTTTTCCCCTCTCCTTCCCTCATGCGAAACTCTATTCATCCAGTGCAATGAATGAGCTGATTGAAAAATTCAACATTGCATATGACCGCCATAGTCGAAGAGGGGGCCGAACGGTTTTTATATAAAAGCTCCTTGCTGGGACCAACTGTATTACAGAAGGTTCAGGTACTACTTTGATGATGGTGCTAGGATTTGAGTGGCAATGGAAGGGGATGATATAGGAATTCTTTTTGTTTTTTGTTTATTTTTTGCTCTTACCTTTTATTTGATACTTTATCTGAGTTTAAAGATGCTTATTGTTCTCAGTTAACTGGAGCAACTTCTATAGTCATAGACAATCTTATGATGGAGAAGTATTATAATGCCAAAGATGCACTATAGACTGAATCTGATATGATTTCAGGGTGATTTAAGGGCACTTTTGGGAGTTACTTTGAAAATTTTAAAATCATTTTTGTCTTCGTATTAGAACATGGTTTTAGTTATTCAAAATTAATTTTTTAGCATGAAAATCATGTTTAAAAAGTGTAAATTCAAACATTAGAAGAAACGTGCCTTAAATGCTTGAGGGTGAATGATACAAACTTTAGGTATGATTTTAGGGCTTAACCATTAGTGGTGAAATTTTTTTCTAATTATAATCCAATAGAGAATCACATCTAGAGGGTATGGAAATAACAATAAATGGATAAAGATATTTGCCTATAATAAAAGAGCAAATATGATACATATGGTAAATCGTAATATAAGTCAAATATCTTAGTTAGGTTTAGATATTGGGTCACTCCCCTCGTATTTACAATGCTACTAGGTTACTATGTGACTATTAGAGAGTTGGTGAGGAGTTTATTATGACTAATTCCAGGTTACTATGATGTGACTATTAGAGAGTTGGTGAGGAGTTTGTTATGACTAATTCATGTACCTATCTTAGTTGGATAGGTAGGGAGTTCATGATTGCTCACCTTGACTAGTTAAGCTTAGAATTATCGCCTATTTGTTCAAAGATAAGTATGAATGGATGTTTAGAAATGAACAGATTAGGAGGCCGATCGTATTTAGGATATTCAGTCTGATTCGTCTTGAAAAGTAGTCTTTCATAAACAGGAAGGGTAGGTCTTCGCCTCACTTTTTGGATTGGTTCGCGAGTCAATGTTTTTGCCCACCTTAACCGACAATAATTGGGTAGACTATTCTTCCGACCTCATATTACCTCATACCATTTCCCAATTCATGTAACCCTCGTCAGTTAAGATAGGTGTCAAGCTACATTGAATTTGAAAACATTGAATTTGAAAACATAGGATGAGAAATCATTCAAATCTTTGTTTGGTAATTATTGGCATACCAACTAAATGTTTGGGTGGTTAAGTCATGGATTCATACACAAATTAAAAGGGGTCTTGAAAGAATGGAACTCGACATTGCAAAAGTTGTGAAAGGAACTCGATGCACTCAAGATACAGCCATAATTAAAAAATGAAGGTAGAATCTTGACCAAGGGTAGAACAAATGAAATGCGACCAACATGTCGTCGTAACTGGAACTTAATTGATAAATTTTTCTTAAAATCTTGAATTGACATATTTTAGGAAAATTCTCCAGTAAATTTTCTCAAATCAAGTGATTATTCCCGGCTCGGATCTTAGGATTGTTCAACACTTTGTCATATTTCTTCTCAATTTCAGTAGTGGCACACGAAGCGCCCCTAATCACTTAGGTTAGCATTCATTGTATAAAGTTCAAAGTTGAAAGGTTTAATCAAACACGTTTTTATAAAAACAATTCAAGAAAATCGCGTAGAAATGGAGCTTTGCCTTTTGTATCTAGACATAAGACACGAACTTTTAGAGTCAATAAAGTTGTGCTTAAATCATTTAAATTAAAATTAGTCACGAGCTATAAGATTTATTTCTTATACTCATAAAAATATTTATAAAAAAATTGAATAAGTTTTGAATCAGACTCATGATTTTAAACCCTAAACCCTAATTTGCATATGAATAAATATCGGTAAGAAAGTAAAATTTGGATCTTAAATTTTGACATAATTGTGACTATGAATGTTATGATTTTGGAGAAAGAACAAAAGAAAATCTTGTTTTTGTGTATTCAAATTCCGTCACGATTGGTCATATCCACAGGAATAATATACACCACACAACTAGGATTTTGCCGTAACGCTATGAATTCCAAGTCCAAATCCAATCAAGACGATAAACATTGGCCGCCCAACCAGATCTGATCTCCGCCATGGATTTGCCTCCATTTCTTTACCACCAACGGGATCAATCCAGGTATATCTCTCCTCCTCCTCCTCCTCCTCCTCCTCCTCCTTCCTCCGCCCCTCTTCCTCACCTTTTTTTTCCGGACGATCCCAATTTCCACTTCCCTTCCAATCACCATCAGGTTCTTCATAACATTCCCGATAAAGGGCTAGATTTCCCTCTGCGGCCGCCACCGCCACCGCCGTCGTACCGTCATCCTACGATTCATCCACTCCCGTCACAAGCATCGCCGCTAGGTTATAATCCCTCTCAACCACACTTTGTTGTTTCTTCCTCGATTCACGATGACCAATTGAGGTCTCCCCACCCTATTCGTGAATTTCCGCGCTCCCCTCCGCTTTCCAGTCGAGTTTCTTTCGACGGAGGTTTTCACCGCGATTTTGTTGACCTAAATCATTCGTTCCATGAAACTCGGTTTGATGTTTCGGATCCATCGAGAGGCTCTGCGGATAATCGACCTCCAATTCCGCATTCTCCTATCGATTTTCAGCATGGAGCTGGCCACCGAGAAATTGATTACAGATCTGTCATGCCGTATCCGCCCCCTGATATGTTTAGGTATAGTTCAGGTAGTAGTTCTAGGAGGGGAGCGGAATACAATGATAGATTTCAGACAAATCCAAGAGAAGAGGTGCTACGGGGACGAGGTGAGGAGAATTATTATCACCACGATCAGCTTAAAGCTGATTCCAATATCACCTTTATGGAATCTGGAGCGTTGCAGAGTCCATTATCTAGAGATAACAAATTTACTTCTGGTAGTTTTGATAAACATCGCTATGGCTCGAATTATGAAAAAGAATCTTTTAGGAGTCGTAGGAATGGTAATGTGGTGGGTAAAAATCAGAGATGGGTTCATAGCAAACAAACCTTTAGAAACATGCACAATTCGTACTCAGATGGAAGCAATGATAGAGGATATGGTGACCGTTGTGATTTTCGAATTATGTCTGGTAAGCATGGACATTCCAATCCAGAATCAGGAAAATATTACAGTGACAATAAGGATAGTATAGAAGGTTATAATGAGTACGCGTCCACTCCACGGAAGCAGGTACAGAAAAAGAGTGCTTTTCTCAGAATTCAGATGGCAAATCCTTGTCACAGTAACCGAGAGAGTGAACAATTGCACGATTCTGATTATTTCGATGAGAAGAACGGTTTCCACAGAGGCAAAAATCAGGTTCGATCTCAGGGCTACAGAATAGATGCAGGGAAGAAGAGACAGGGAAGTCCTATGGAGCTTGATGTTTCTTTTAAATCCAATTCATTGGTGGCCAAGGCGATCGTGACACCAACACAGTCTGCTCCGACTTCTCATATGGATAAAATGCCTGGATATGAAAAAACTACAAATGTTTTGGTTCCCGTTCCCCACCATAACTCTACTGACTTGCATTTAACGGGAAAGAACAAGGATGATTTAGGCACAAATGATGTTACAAATCCTGCCCCATGTCCCCCAGGTTCTAAAAATGAGCTGAAAGAATCAGAAGAGAAGGCTACAGGTTCGTTGGCTGGTAATGGATCTAACAATTTAACAGATGCTTCTCTGGTTAAGGGCAATTATTCACTTAGAAAAACTAACGTTGAACGACCTTCACAAGGAATGGTGTCAGGTATAAAAGGAAGGAATGTTTATGGAAAAGTAGCTACTGTGAGAACCATGAAGAAGAAAAAGGTTGTGAGGAAAGTAGTGAAGAAGGTAGGAAGTCCCCGACTGTATTTACAGACAAGAAACAGCAATGTTGACCCTTTGAAAGCATGTAGTTTGAAAAATATTCCGCCGGTGTCAGAAAACAAGTCTTCCACATCTGGAATGAACTCAGATCATGGTTCTGCGTTGAAGGCTTCTCTGCATGGTATGTCTGGATCGCTAGATAATGGAAAAGCAGATCAGTCTGTCCTGCCTATAACATCAGAAGAGTTTCAAGCCAACACTGATATGGGCTTGGAGTGTGTACCTGCAGATGATAGTAATAAAAATAACTTCGATTCTCCATTGAACCCCTTGATAAAAGAGGCAAGAGGATCTAATTCTAATAAGGATCTTAAACTATCAAATGGACCTAATGACTTCGATTTTGAATGTCAGAAGTCAATCAAGCCTAAACTTTGTGGGAATGAAGAAGATTTGTCACTTGAGAATGTATATAGTAAAGGGTCTAAATCTATCATGTTTTCCCTAGGAAGCAGTCAGTCTGGAATAGTGAGTTCAAATGATCCTAATCTACATGATAATCTTGTAAAGGGAAATAGTTTGGCTGTTAATAAAGACGTTCCCATGGATTTTGATAATGGGGTAACTCAGGTTCAAGATAATTCACTTTGTGAAACTTTTTTAGCTGATGGAATTTGCCAGCAATGTGCCAACAGGGTAACTGGACCTCCTGAGACTGATGTCGTGGGAGTATCTGCAGCAAAAGTTACAATTAGAAATTCTTTGGTGGGCGTAAATCCAGAAGCATCGGAAATGCAGCAGATTGATTCCAAAAATTTGCAAGTCTATAACAGTGGACAACATACTAATCAAGATTCAAATGACTGTCGTCAGTGTACTAATATACGAGTGAATGAGGTTCTTAATTGTGAGAGGATTGGTAGTGCAATGAGAGAATCGAAAGCTATGGATAGTTCTGTTTCACTAGGTATTAGTTCGGTAGAAAGATCTGCCAAAGATAAGGTTTCAATTAGTGGTGGACAAGGTGAGAAATCTTTGTCAAAGATGAGTAAAATTAAAAATTGTTTGGATTTTGCAGGTTCTCGTGACATCAATCAGAAGACGAATTCTGAGGATTTATGTGTACGTTCTAATTCTAAAAATTATTGCCCTTCAGAGCAGGGTGTTTCTGGTGATGGAAGCATAATAATAGATGTAAATCCTACCACCACTGAAGAGAGTCCAATGCCTGATTTCAATTTATTAGGTAAGTCGTCAAAAAATAAGTTGTCAATGGGCTTTGATGTTAATAATAGAGGAAATGACATCAAGTCCCGAAAGAAGCGAAAGATATGCATTGCTAGTCCTGTTTTGCCTTGCCCCAGTGTTGAATCTAATGAAGGGCCTGCACTTACAGTCATCTCTAGTTTAAACGATCAGTTAACCTCTAATGTTGAGTTAATGGAAGGAGAGGAGGTTGCAGCATCTACTGTGGATGCTTTTTTCAAAGCTAGTCCTGTTTCTACAGATTGTTCGAAAGGGATCAGCAAGATGCTCGATGAGATACCGAAAAAAGAAGATTCCAAAAAAATAAATATTGATGATGGTCCTTTTGAGTATTGCTTGAAATATGAACAACCAGAAAACTCTCGCTCAATCCAGGAGGAGTTGATTGTTTCAAAATGTCAACCACTTTCTTCATTGGGAAATGAGAAAGAAGACAGCAGTACTCCCACAATGGCACCAAATCAAAGAAATGATATGGATGTAGTGATTTGTAGAAGAAAAGAACTAAATATTCATGCTGAAGCACAATCTATGCTTTGTAATAAGACTGCACAGTGGGATAGTCCTCAAGTTCCATCCTCTCAGACCTTAAATTTTTCATATCCAGAAGCAGTTAAAGCGTCTTGTAATCTTGGCCAGGATAATGTGCATCATATAGAAAGATGCGCTGATGGTGGCAGCTGCCTCACTGCCAATTCTGACAATGAAATTATAGGCATTGCGAGTGACACCCAAGGTGATTTGGGTTCTCCAGAAACCTCCAATGTTCAAGGGATAGATAAATTACATTGTGAGGTATCTCTCAGAAATATTGACTTCAAAATGGATTGTGAATATGACAAAAAGGTGAAGGAGAAATCTAGTGCTGAAAATGAATTAAGGGCATCGAATGATACTTCATTTCCACAGCCTACGACCATTAATCAGAAATTAGGTTGCACCAATTCTGACAACAATTTGACTGCTGGCAAAGTAGTACCACGGGCATTGGTAGAATTAAAAAGTGGACTCCAAGCTGACAATCATTCTGCCAACTCGTGCAAAAAAAATCAGAATATGGTTTATCACAAATATCAGACAATTCCTGGTAAATCTTTTTCCACATGCACTGCTTCAAAGAAGATAGCATCTGATAAAAGTTTTCTTGGTACAAAACCCCGAAGTTGGCATCGGAATGTTAACACTTTAGTTCCAGCTCCTGGAAATGCGGCTTTATCAAGTACTATTCCTTCTCAAGGGCAGTTACATGGTGGAGATGGAATGCTTGAGAGTACTTTGTACATTCGTAAAGGTAACAGCCTAGTTCGAAAACCATCTCCAGTTGCAGCTCGAGTTTCAGGCTCCCATGATTTAAGTTCAAGCTCATCTGATCAACATGATTGCAGACCTAATATAAAATCTAATGGTAAGGTTGAGGTGGCTAATCCTCCTGTCCATTTTAAAGTAAGGGGAACTGATGTTCCTATTGATAAGCCCTTTCCTCCCCAACTATCTAGTGGGTCTGGGTCGCCCAATCATCCTATTCCCAATGCAGATTATGCACCATCTCCTTGCCATGAACCTGAATCAAATCTCACGAAGTCTAAACATGTTAGTGATCTGTCTAGGTCTGTTGGGGATCCCTCGAAGATTTTTGTAGCTCCTAAAAGCCTGGTTGGTACTGCTGATAAGAAAGAACATCTGACTGAAAAAAAAGACAAGAATTTTGTTTCTTCAGTTGTAAAAAAGATGGTGTATGTAAAGCGCAAGTCAAATCAGTTGGTTGCTACTTCAAAACCCTGTAATTTATCAACTAAAAATATGGAGACTACTTGTTCCTTGGCCTCCGATGGCTATTACAAGAGGAAAAAGAATCAGTTGATCAGGGCATCATCAGAATGTCAGAAGAAGCAGACTTCACTCCCCACCGAAGATATTTTGAACCCAGGAGGTCCAAGCTCTTATGGGGATGGAGATGCTAGAAGTTTTGATAAGAGACAACAATATAAAGGTATAATAGCTAAACATTAGCTTTTATTTTGTAGCTTTTGTATGTTTCTATTTATACAGTATCTCAATATGTTAGAACAATCTCAATTTTTATCTTAAATTTTTATGTTTCATTGTACTGTTGTACAATGGACGAAACTTATGAATGTACACACATCATAGAGATGTGGCAGTTTTACCAGGTTCTTCCAACTTTTTATCTCTCGTGTCTGCCTCTGCATATCTTGGAGCATTTTTAGTGCTTTCAGTGCAAGCTCTTATTCCCAACATCATTTTTCCTATTAATGCGTTAAATATGTATTTGTTGGTAATAGCTTTAGCTACCAGCCACTTTCAATTTCAAATTTTCATGTCCTTCGATGGAAGGTTTATAATTTTCTCCTTTTTAATTTCATTTCTTATGCGATTTTTTTTTTTTTTTGTATCTTTGAACATACTTGTAACAATGGAAATTTTATTTATTGTTAAAAAAAAGAAACGAGGCACTTCTTTTTCTTGGAACTTGCTTTTCTTGGTTAGAACATAGAACATGAACTGTTGATTCATATATGTGTGATATAGTGTTATTTTTTATTTTTATTTTTTATAGCTCATACTTTTTAGTCTAAAAATGTTTGAGATCTAGATTTTTCATGTATTTCCTTTTCAACTTTTGTTTTGTCTGTCCTCTGTGGTTACCTCGATCAAAAACACTGATAAGACTATTCTAAATCATTGTCTTTCATTTAAGAGAATAGCTTTATTAAATTATTGCTGGCTTTTGTTTTTATAAGTCTAAATCGTTGTGATTCAACTGTTTGATATTTCTTGCCCAAGTATGCTTATCCCTAATAGCCCTCATTTCTGCTTATATATGATTTTCTATAATGCATTTGTAGTGTGGGTTTAGTTTTCCTGACATTCATCCTGATGTTGTTTTACAATGAGCTGTAGTCATAGTAAAACTGAATATAGATTTTCTGTACAGCTGTAGTGAAAACATATAGGCCGTCAAAGTCCTCTTTGGTATGGACACTTCGCAGTTCTGTTGCTCCAGGAATTGTTGGTGGTAATTTGCAGAATCATAAGATGGCTCCTCGTCTTTTTCCTTGGAAAAGATCACATTGGCAGACCTTCAAGCTAAACGCTTCTACTCAGAGAAACAGCTCTTTCTCTATTGTCAGGCATGTGGTGCATGATTTCTGTTCTTATTTATTTATGTTTCTCTTTTCAACAAAAGGTGGCTGTTTGGCTCAACAAGTGGTAATTCCAATGTTTTTTCACCAGAAAATTGTTGCTGATGAGGAACAGGAACACAGTTTATAAAAGATCAAAACATGGATTTTCACTTAGAAAATCCAAGGTACTAAGTATTGGCAGGTCTAGTTTAAAGTGGTCCAAATCCATTGAAAAGCACTCAAAGAAAGCTAATGAGGTTTGTTCGAAGTTAGATAATGATACATGCGTTTACTGCAATTTGATTTTTCTCTATAGTCCCTAATATATTCTGTTTGATGGGCACTTGTGGAGGCAAGAATGATCTTTGACCTTTTCTTTGATAACATATTTTTTTTTAGCAAATAGTGTCTTTTTATTCTTCTTTAACATAGGAAGCTACGAGGGCAGTTGCTGATGTCGAAAGGAAGAAAAGGGAGCGTAATTTGGATGCATCTATTTCCTCTGATGCTCCGGGTGGAAATCAGTTCTCCTGTAAGTCCGTTAGATATTTGCAATTTGTGGACTTTTAATTCTCCGGTATGGCCGAGTAATCTGCAGTTTTCTTTTAATGAAGTGATGTGGGTTTGTATCTGTAGTAAAATGATGATACTTTGTTAACTAACATCTGTGTAAGTCATATTTTCCTACAACAAAAGGGTAATGGCATCTTTCCCATTACGTCCATGACACCTCTCAGCTAGTTGATATTTGCTTTTGTGGTGGATGTTACTAGTTGTCTTTTCTTGATTTTTTGGTCTCCTGCTGGTTCTGTTTTTGCTTCTGTTGTTGAAAAAACAGGCGAAGCACAATTTTAGTCCTTTCACTTTAGTTCTTGTAACATTGGTCCCTTGGACTTTTCTTTTGTAATGATTCAATTCTTGTATTTCAATTCAAATTGGTCTTATAAATTTTGTTGTGATTGAGCCATATAAATAAAGAGTATACATTTGTTAGGTACTCGAACACCCAAAACACAAGATAGTTATATATTGCAATATCAAAGGAAGATTACAATATAACAACAGCCTTTTGAGAGAGCTCTCTCTCCCAAATCCCGCAATGGAATATTCTACTAAAATGATCCACCCTTTTCTAAGAACCCTAATGGTAGGTATCCCTTTCCCATATATTGATATTAAGAGAAAATCTCCTGCCCTAGGGCAATACAAACTCCCAGCCAATTTGAGAGGGCGGTAAACTCTCCCATACCTTTCTAAAGCCAAAACTCAAAAACTAGAAAGAAAATATAAAAATAATAAATAATAAATTAAAAACCTACCCAAAACAAACAATCTCTCCCCTAAATATTCCATATACTTCTCACTATGTAGTGATGGGCCTACTTGCATTTCACGATGGGAGTTCAAAGCACCTTTCGATTGTGAAACATGAAACACTTGTTGGATAATAGCGTCCTTTGGTAATTTTAACTTTTAAGCTACTGGTCCAATTTTACGTTCAATGCAATAAGACACTCAAAGTATTTGGGAGATAGTTTCCTCATTCCTTTGCTTTGCTAGAGAGGCTTGTCTGTATGGTTGGGTTTTAAGGAACACCTAATCTCCAACTACGAGCTTTAACTCAAAGCATGTGTGAGCTGCAAACTTCTTCATGCGGCCTTGAGCGGCCCTCAAATGTGTTTTTAACACATAAGCAATACCTCTTTCTTTCAATTGATGGTCCAATGTAGCATTGGTAATTTTCATTTTACCGTAAGATAGCAAAGGAGGCAGGGGGCTGCCCATAAACAGCCAGAAATCATGCTATTTCAATTGAAATATGAAATGTAGTATTATTCCATAACTGTGCCCCGCTTAACCATGCCGACCAATTCTTCACGAACTTTCCCCGCAAAATACCTCAAATATTTCTCCATGCATTTATTCACTATCTCTGCCTGACGCATTTACTCAGATGCATAGATTCATGGGTATAGACTTCCTCTAATGTTCTTCTTCATTCTTCATGTCCTGTAGATGACCAAGCATCTGGTTCTACTACTCTGCAACCAAAAAAGAGTGCTAAGAAATTTTTTATTCCACGGAGTCTAATGATTGGAAATGACGAGTATGTGACTTATTTAAGCTACAAAGCATGGTTTGAGTATATGCACACACACATTGGATGAGAAGTATACCTGTTTACTCATATACCTACTATAGACAATTGAGCTAACATTCTTTTGTGGTTGACACTGAAAAACTGGCAGATATGTTAAGATTGGAAATGGCAATCAATTAGTCAGAAATACAAAAAGACGAGCACGCATATTGGCAAATGAGAAAATTCGATGGAGTTTGCACACTGCAAGACAGCGTCTGGCTAAGAAGCGGAAGTACTGTCAATTTTTCACAAGATTTGGCAAGTGTAACAAAGAAGGTGGCAAGTGCCCTTATATTCACGACACTTCCAAGATTGTAGTCTGCACAAAATTTCTTAATGGTTTATGCTCTAACGCAAGCTGCAAATTGACTCATAAGGTTCAGCACTGATTCAATTGATGGGCCTTTTGTTGTTTAAGCTTTGGTCTAAATTGTCCATAACCTTCGTCTCAATTTTCTTTCCTCCACAGGTCATTCCAGAAAGGATGCCTGATTGTTCATACTTTTTACAGGGTACTTTTCGAACTAAATTGTTTCAAAAAATTTATAGAACTGCAGGTTTATGATGGACTTCTTGACAGGTTTATGCAGCAGCAAAAATTGTGCTTATAGACATGTAAATGTGAACTCAAAGGCCCCTACTTGCCAGGCTTTTCTCAGGGGTTATTGTGCTCTTGGTAACGAGGTAATTTCCACTTTCATGAACTTTAGTTTCTAGGTACTCGACTTGAGTGGGACTCTTTTTTAATGTATTTTAACTCATAAATATGCTCTGGTCAAACACTTTCTGACAAGAAATTGAGACTTTTCAGATTCTGGTTAACTCTACCAGAAGTGGTTTGACATCTTACCATGCCTTCGTTCTCTGATGGGTTCGATTTGACTGAAAATCTTCAAGTTTTTTGAATGCTTCATGATGCTGCACTCCTAACCGGTGACTCAATATATTTATAGTTGTTGCCGTTTGGCGGTGCTTCCTGAAAAAATATGTTCGAAAACTGTTTTGCTGACTGTTTCATAGAACTGCTTTTAGAAGGTTTTTTATTTTTTTATTTTCCCAACAAAAAAGGGTTGCACTAATTCCTCCTGGGAACAAATTTTTTTGTTCTGTTAAATTATCCTACTTCAAGTTTTGCTCCATAAAATTACTTTAACTTTTACAGACAATATCAAGTTTTTTATACTTGATACATCATGTCATCGTGTTTGTAATTGTAAATCTAATGAAACTGGGTGTACCTAATTGTTCAGTGCCGTAAGAAGCACAGTTATGTATGCCCCTTGTTCGAAGCAACAGGTACATGTCCTGATAGACCCAAGTGCAAACTTCACCATCCTAAAAGACAAACTAAAGGAAGAAAAAGGAAACGATCAGAAGGGAAGAATAACGATCAAGGACGGTACTTTGGTTCTAAGAAATACGATGTTTCTGGGTCGAGAATGGTGGTGAGTGAGAAGCATCCTGTTAAGTTGAGTGACCCTTTTCCTGAAAAAGATCTGGCAGATTATATCAGCCTTGATGTTTCTAGTGATGAAGAGATTGCAGAAAGCCCCGACTCAACGAGCTTGAGTACGTCCTTTTGCGAAGGTTACCTCTCAGAGTTACTACTAAACAATCCCGACAAGCTAATCAAACCAGTTCGGATAATGACCGAGAATCTGACGATGCAATCGCTGGCAAACTGAGCTGCCTGCTGCTGATTCTGTGCCAGGTTTGTGTCCAATCTCTCACCACTACAGTTTAGTTTAGTGTATACCTGCTCTGCCAATATCTGTAACACACAATCACAGTTTAGGTTCTTTAGTATATAGCTTTTAGTTTTTCTTCTCAGTGCAGAATTGTGAAAAACTTCCCTTCTGCCATTACTGTAAATCAACATTTTAATGTGAAAGGAATGAAATGATTTTATTAGAAGTGGATGCGATAAGCTACACTGTTTTACCATAATCCTTATACTACCGGTTTTATTTTACTTCAATCCAATTTTAGCTGAAGGACAACTTGGGGATGAAATATGGACGGAGAAAATGTAGGGATGGTATACAAAGTCAACCGATCTCACTGAATAAACAAAAATATAGAATTATTTATGGCTACACAAATCGTTGATGATAGTTCTAGATCTGGACCAAGACGAATTATTGCAGGGGATTTATTGAAACCATTGAATTTGGAATATGGTAAAGTGACTCCTGGATGGGGAACTACGCCTTTGATGGATGTCGCAATTGGTCTATTTGCGATATTTCTATCTATTATTTTGGAGATTTATAATTCTTCCATTTTACTGGACGGAATTTCAAGTAATTAGATTCGATTCACTAGAATCCTTAAATAATTTTTCAATAAAAAGCAGAAACCTACCTACTTAAACATAAATGATATTGGCGAAATAAGTTGAGATATATAATTACATTCTCGAAAGTAACTCTTTTATTTTGGGTGTGAATAAAGGTAATTTTGGAGGTTCTAATAAGAACTAAATAAATGGAAGAGAAACATCTTATCCACAAACATTTGAATCTCATTTTTGAAACAATCTCAGCCCCACAAACATAAGGAAAAAGGAAAAATGAAAATCAGAAACTATAAAACAGAGAAACCAACCCAAACCAAAACCAACCATTTTCTAGGGATAAACACCAAACAACTTTCCTCCATGGCAACAGCAGCTTCATCTTACATGGTCTTTTCCATGGTGGGTTGGAAAAACGGCAAACAAAACACAAGACCCTCAGCCAGATTTCCCATCTCTGCTCAGATCAATGAAGCTGCAGAGCAACTGAAAGTGGGCGAAGAAGAAGAAGAGGCAAAGCCGAAACCACCACCGTCGCCGCTGCGACCGGTGGAAACGCAGCCAAACGTGAAGAGCAAGAACATGAGCAGAGAGTATGGAGGGCAATGGCTGAGCAGTGTGACTCGGCATGTAAGAATCTATGCAGCTTATATTGACCCTGTTACTTGTGAGTTTGATCAGACCCAAATGGATAAACTTACACTTATTTTGGATCCAAGTAATGAGTTTCTTTGGAATCCTGAAACTTGCAACAAAGTCTATGCTTACTTCCAAGAGCTTGTGGATCATTATGAGGTATCTCTCTCTCTCTCTCTCTCGGCTTGACTGATTCATGATTAATCAATTCTCTAGAATGATGACAATTCAAAGATCCATTTTATTTTACTATGTTTCTTTGTTAATATGCTCTTAATCTAACCATCATTTTAAAAATGAAAATTGAGGAAATCAGGGAGCTCCACTGACAGAATACACACTTCGCCTAATTGGTTCAGACATAGAACACTACATAAGAAAGATGCTTTATGATGGTGAAATCAAGTACAATATGAATGCAAGGGTCCTCAACTTCAGCATGGGAAAACCAAGAATTATGTTCAATAGCAACGATCTGCCTCAAGATCTACAATCATGATACTTAAAACAAATGTGAAAAGATGATCTACATATTCACTATGTTGTGTTCCAAATAGAATGCCAATTCCTCATTTTATACTCTTACATTTCTTTCCCAGTTTTGTACACATAGTTTTACCTTCAAAAGTAATGATTTCTCGACCGCAGCTTATCACATTTCCTCGACACATTCAAAGAAAACATACGAAAACAAACCATGTAACCATTGTCGACTTTTGATAATCTTGGGGGCATTTCAGAAGTTTCAACAAAACCATAGGAATCATGCTGACAACTTTTAAAATGATAACACCTAATAGCAATCAGTCATTTAACCCAAAATCTATATCAAGCTAGTTGTTATCAGACGGGTAGCAAGAGCTTTTCTCAAGAAAATTAGAATCACTTCAGCACATGAGAAATGAGGTTTTACCTTCAAATTCTTAATCATTTTCACTTCCATGTTTCATAATCAAAATCCTGGTACTTTTCCTGGCATTTACTTACATTGAGACCTTTGAAATTCAAAGGGGAATGAAACGCACAAATAAGAAGGAAAAATGCTACACTTCTGAGTTATGCAGAAGGAATGTGTTTCCTATACTTCATGTGGATCATGCAACAAATGAATGGTTAGCACCAACTTTATACCGTACTTACAGAGCATGAAACCAAAGACCACCAAAATACATTCAGGACACTGTTTTATCTGATTTATCCATCACCAAATACAGTGACTTAAACAAGAGCTTAAACTGAGCTACATTTCCAAGTTATGAGAGTGGCAACACATTCAGGCATGATGGGTCCATCCAAGGCTGAAAAGCATCCTCATGGGACAAATTCTGACAAAAAAAAAACCAAAAGGAACCACACAATGTCGAAGTCAATATAGGAAGGGAACAAAAAAAATTATTAAATAAAGCTGCTACACGTAGTTATCTCTTAATAATCATAGGATACAAATTTAAAATAGTTTAGTAGTTTCTCTCTTAATAGTGTAAAATTGCCAACCACTTCCACATCGTGGTAACCTCCTCTCATCATTTCTCGAAGAGAACATATTCTTAAAAGTGGTGAAGTGCACTAAAAGATATAATAACTCTTTTCGTGGCCCAAGACAGAGACTCTTTACCTCCTTAATCTAGTCCTTTATTGTACCAGTAGAATATATTCTATTTCTTAAACTACATAATTAAGTGCCCATTAACTACTATCATAATTGCTGAAGAAGACGTCTATGAAATAAGCATGTTTCACAAAAATATAAAAAACTACCTGCAACCAATAGAAGAAGCCACGTAGTAGGTTCAAAGTTCTGGGGCAATCATATTGAACTGATTGAATTTTCATAGCAAGATCTGCCAAAAAAAAAAAAACAGAGAAGGTAGATTCAATACATAGAATCCGCACTGATTATAATGAACATCATGCAAATAAATTCGAAAGTCTAAGCAAAGAAATTAATGAAACAGAAAAAGGCAAGTGCATAATTTGAATCTACTTGACAAAGAATATTTACATGTCCAGAGGTTCATTTAACACTTCTCTTTGGGATAAACACAAAATATCAAATCAAGCTAGAAGATAGTTTCTTTAACACTTCTTAGGTAGTCTTGACAATTAGAAGAGTGACAAGTAGTATTACCTTAATAACCTGAAAAATCAATTTTGGTGCAAATTATGAATGTTTGGTAAAAGTATCAGATTGGGGGTTAGAACATCCTCTCTTAGGATGAACATCTTCAGGAAGTGGTATTCATGGAGGAATCTTTTTAGAGGAAAAAGACTGGGGGTGTTGAAAATACTAGTTGTTTCCAAAGATTACTATTATATAAGAGAAATTCGTAGCTCATACAGCCTTTCAACACATTGAAGAACACTGATAACAAGCAAAATCCAATCAATATAATCGCAGTAGAAAATTACATTGGGACTAAAAGCACTCACCATCATAGAGATGAAGATATGATTTGGCGCGAGATTCCAGTGTATATGGTTTTAGCACTCTACTACGTAATTCTCTATGACGAACATGTGGCCTACGGCGGCCTACTTCTTGAAGAAAAAAGTCGTACTCACGTTGATCATATGGTTTTTGAAGAACTTTTATGAGCCTCTCCCTGAAATTGGAACTTTTATATATACCAGGACTCTGAAGACTCTTCCCACTATCTATATCCATCTGGAAAGAACAAAAAAAATCTATCAATCTAAGACATAACCAAGTTCTATATCCTTTCCCATTAAAATAAAGAGATATCACAGCATTAGAATTAGATATACTCACAGCGGAACGTAAATATTTTCTCCCAAATCTAGCACTGCTGCGCTTACATGAATCGGTGTTCATCTTCACCACTTCTGACTTAGAGATACTTCCATCGTGCTCATAGACAAATCGCCTACCATCTGGAGGCATTAATTGATATCTACGATCATCACAAAGAAAATCTGTCAAAAATGTCTTATAGTCTTCGTCCATATTATCCGAGTCAGAATCGGATAGGGAAAGACGCTTAGCAGAACTGAGAAGACCTGTACCGAGCATTGTGCTTGAATTTCCATTGACCCCATTAGATACAGGTTTTGCACAATCCAGACTGAACTCTTCCTCAAACAAAGGAACCGGGCTTTCTTTATCTGTGCTCGCTATCTCATCTTTCCTTGAAGCACTCGTCAAGGTCCTGATAGTTCCAGGTTTTTTACTATTTTGATCTTTCTTCGGGCTTGATTTTTCGTCTTCCTCATACTTCACATACACTTTCATTCCATCAACTGATGGAATTTCAAGCTTATATGCTTTCCCCTCTTCAATCAAATGCTGAAAAAACATCTCATAAACAGGATCAACTTCATCTACCAACCATTTACAGCGCGAAGTCCCATTATCGTCATTATCACGCCCAAAATCCTGAGGTTTAGCCTCAACAATCTCCTCACTGCTATCCACAAACATCGGTAAATTATCTAAGAATTTCCGATATTCCGCATCGAATTCTTCTAGTTCATGCTTCTTCGAAGTTTTGCAACAGTAGTTCTTATACTGTCGATTCGAAACTAACCTTCTCTTCAGTCGCCTATCCAACCGTACATCCAGCGAATGATCAACAGTACTCCCGTTAACCATTGTGTCAAAAATCCACAGAAGAACTCTTTAACAACAGAAAATCCAGGTGAGAAAATTTACAACTCTGTTTCCTCGTCCCTACGAGACATCAATTCTTCGACCAACTAGAAAACTTGAAAAGAAGATGAAGAAGTCCCGTAGCGTGTGATGCTTTTGGACTCGCAATCTTAGCCTCGATTCCTCCTCCGGCGGTCTTCTGGGAAGGCTTTGCATTCAGAGATATGCCCTAATTGCCTTCGTCTTCACGACGAATCGTCTTCTGCTCCTCCAGTTTGCTATTAGCAGTTCCTCTCCGTTTTCTTTGCAAGGGTTTATGTGGGTCATGTCAGACCGGGCTGAGTTTCTTTTGTTTTATGTTTAAAAAAAAAAAAAAAACTTTTAACAAAATTTTAAAATATTATTAAAAAATCATTAATATTTTTATCTAAAAAATATCTTTTAATAAAAAAAATTTAAAAATATCTTTTAATAAAAAAAATTTAAAAATATCCTTTTTAAATTACCCCAGTTTTTTTTTTAAAAAAATCACTCATTTCTTTAAACGTTTTTTAAAATTTTAAAAATACCTTTAAATTTTATTTAAAAAATTAAAAAATTAAAAAAATAATAGTATCTCAAATATTTATCAACTTTCTAAATATTATTTAAATAATCTATGAGATATCATAGACCGATAATTTTTTTTTTATCAAATTTCTTTTTTTATAAAGGAAAGAATATTAAAGTTTATTATTATTTTTTTTTTGAAAATTTAAGAATATCATTGAATCTTTTAAAAGTTTAGAGTACTTTTTGGATAGAGTACCATGTTTATGGATATTTTGATTAATTTATGAAAAATAAAATAAAATCTTTTACCCAGACCTACTAACATGTAAGCTTAGGTGGAACAAGCAAATAATAAATTTCCATGTAAACTGAAACTGGGGAGAGAACAGAGAGATAAGTTTAGCTAAACAGGACCATGTTCTTGTCTCCATCCAAATTATATATATATACATATATATATATATACACATATATATATATATATACATATATATATACATATATATATATATATACATATATATATATATATATAGGAGATTCAACCGAACTGTAAGGAGAGATGCATGGAAATGTAGAATCATAAACAAATATAGAGAGACAAAATATTCTGAGCCAAATAAGCATATGTTCTGGTTTTTTTTGTCTTGACAAGATACGTTCTTAGTATTTATTAGAGAGCATGTGTTCTTCTTGCTAGCACACTGAACAAATCATAATGTCTATAATAACATCTACTTCACTTTTATTCCACACAACAATCCTTAGAAGCAGCAGTATTTACCTGTTTCGACATGTAAGCTTCAAAGATTTCGACGACAAGCCGTGGATCTGTTTCGACGAGCTCCATGTACTCCTCCCTTTTGGTAAGCTTGTCCATGTTCTCAATAATCACTGCTAACGCTGCATCAATCATATGCTTCCCATTGTGCCGATGGGAAAAGGTGTAGTTCAAGATTGAGTTGTCCCAATTCAGTTTTGATATCAGGAACTTCTCGCAATGAGCCTTCAGATGCTTCACTTCGTACTTTTCAGCCAAAACTAGAAGCTCATAAGCCATCTGTTCATCAAGACAGGCTTCTGCTGTGTACAGATAATTAACGAAGGCGCGGAGGGCGTCGAATGAAACGTCGCTGATCTTTATGGTACCACTACGGCTTTCCTCCATTTCGTTCTCGAGCATAGCTTTGAAAACTGGGGAGCGACTCACCTGAAGGATGAATGGACAGAGTAATTTATGATTAGAAAATGGATTGGCAGGCTCCTATCTATACTGAAACAATGCTCCTGACTGAAACACGAGAAGCTAGGCAAGCTTTACACAAATGAATATGAAATATGAAACTCAAACACGAGAAGCTAGGCAAGCTTTACACAAATGAATATGAAACTCATCTGAAATAGTATCTGTAACCGTCCAAGCCTAGTGCTAGCAGATATTGTCCTCTTTGGACTTTTCCTTTCGGGCTTCCTCTCAAGGCTATAAAATGCATTTTCTAGATAAAGGTTTCCACACCCTTATAAAGGATGTTTCGTTCTCCTCTCCAGCCGACGTGGGATATCACACTAAGCAAGCAAAAAGACATAAAAAATGACTGGACAACATATATTCACCTATCACTCAACAACTCCCAAGAGGAGATGAGTTAGAAAATCACCTAAATTCACCTATCACTCAAAAACATATATTCTCAGCTTGGACAACGCTTCAGAGGAGATGAGTTAGAAAATCAAATCAAATCAAATCGCAAGAGAAAAAATTTCAAGGAATCACATGGGAGCCCCTCAAAATAACTCAAAATAAGAATTGAGTCTCACCTATTATCACTTATGACATATGTCACAACCCAATATTTTACTATGAGCCGTGACTCAAAACGACAACATGAATGCAAGGAAAACAGTTAATGCATTAAGGCAAAATCATTTATTTCAAGTAAAATTTCAACACAAAGGTTCAAACAATGGACAGTTTTGAGAACAAAGATAAGAGAATTTGAATACAAAAGAAAAGACTGGACTGACGCCCTGTGACATGCATTCCTCCGTGACATCTCTGATCACGCCCTCTCTTGACCCGACGCCTCACGCACCTGATAAAGGAAGACATAGCAAGGATGATTATAAAAGTTATACTCAGTAAACCACTTAAAGCCAAATTACAAATGAATGTGTAGAACCCAAATCAAACAACACTAAAGCCAAATGACCAAAGACGGGTAGCGTACCTGTAACAACTGCGTCGGGCTCGTCAGCTTGCCTGACTGTGGTTGCATAGGCTACAACTCGCCCCTGCTGATGTTGAGCACCCGGCCCCTCTGATTTTGTGCCGCAGGTCGGTTAGTATGTTGATTGTTCCCCTTAGGGCAGTCTGCTGCAAAGTGCCCTTCTTGGCCACATTTGAAGCATGCATCTGTCCCTGCTCTGCACTCCCCCATGTGAGGACGCCTGTGAGGACGCCGACAATTAGGACAAATGGTCCTGTTCTGCACCCCCCACTTACCAGTGCAACTGCGGGGCAGTCTACTAATTTTGGGGTGGTTCCGATCTGTCCTCTTTCCTTGAATTGCGGTGTGGGATGACTGGGCTGATCCTGATTGTAACTTGTCGATGCGGGGCATGTCAATAAGGCTCGCCACTCGAAGGGCTTCTGCATAATCAGAGGATGCCAGGGCTGCCACATGCCATTTTAGATCCTCTCTTAGGCCAGCAATGAATCGCTCGGCCTTCAACTCCTCAATACTAACATATGCGGAAGAAACCCTTGCTAGCCTGTTGAATTCCTGATCATACTCCTCCACTGACTTGTCCCCCTGTTTGAGCACAAGGAACGTTGCCCGCATTTTCATTTTGACGGTGATAGGATAGTACTTGCAGAGGTAGGCTTCTTTAAACTGGCACCAGGTGATAGTCTCTCCTTGTGGTGCAATAATCCTTTGAGCGTCTTTCCACCAGAAGTGCGCCTCTCCCTTCAACATGTAAGTCCCACAATGGACCTGGTACTCCAGCGGGCAGTTCATAGACAGGAAGGTTGTTTCAATAGCCTTTAGTCAGGTCTCTATTGCGATGGGATCCACCTTGCCTCCATCAAAGGAAGGCGGTTTATGCCTCTGGAATTCTTTCAGGTAACGAGACTCCACGGTCATAGTCCCTTGCACTGTTGTCTGATTAGCCACCAGTGTCTGCATCATTTGGGTCATTCGAGCCTGATTTTCCATTGAGGTTAACATGAGTGCTTGTAATACATCCAATGTGAGTGTGGCTGACGGCTGGCTGGGCGAGACTTTCGTACTAATTGTTGGCACCGATGGAACCTCCTTGGAGAAGGAAGCAATAGGGTCTATATCAGGCAAGTCTTGGGCCCTTGCTCCCCTTCGGCGCTTTCTAGTTCTTGGTGCCCGCAGTACGGTTCTCTCGCTAGCTTGGGGCATGTCTCTAATCTCCTCTTGAGGTTCAGGTTGTTCTACTTCAAGTGTTGGAACAGAGGTGCCCTGAGCGACTTTTCTTCTTCCCCTTCTGAGTCCGAGCCCGACATAGGGTCCACGTCTCTTTGGTACCATTATCTACCACAAAAGAAAAGAAAATTGCGATTACAATTCATTCATTGCACCTCCTCCAATAAATGCGTAATTATAACACAACAGAAAGACATGGTATATTCTTTAAACACTAGCTTGACTTTTGTCTCTATGTTTCAAACCCGTGAGGATATCTAGTCGCGAGCGGCATGTGTTCGATGGGCATGGTCACAGAGGATACGACTCTCTAACCTAAATGTCTACAGGTCATGGTGACCTGATACCAATCTGTCACGACCCAATATTTTACTATGAATCGTGACTCAAGACGACAACATGAATGCAAGGAAAACAGTTGAAAATGCATTAATGCGAAATCATTTATTTTAAATAAAATTTCAACACAAAGGTTCAAACAATTGACAGTTTTGAGAACAAAGATATGAGAATTTGAATACAAAAGAAAAGACTGGACTGACGCTCCGGGACATGCATTCCTCTGTGACAATCCACATCTCTGATCACACCCTCTCTTGACCCGACGTCTCACGCACCTAAAAAAGGAAGACATAGCAAGGATGAGTATAAAAGTTATACTCAATAAGCCACCTACTTGTAGGCTCTCATCGTGCTCTAGCCTTAACAGACAAACACGGGTTTCTCATTGGCTCTAGGACGTCTGGTTCTAGTTTAGCCCCTTGGAGATTCCCCGGTTCTCTGTCCTTTTATTTAATACCTAAGAGTTCCTTATGCCGAGCTGTAATGACCGGTGTCTCTCTATGAGGCGCTACCTCTGCATGACTATTTGAGACTATATGGCATCTTACCTAGGGGTGTGCTAAGTACCTCCTAGGCCCATGATAGTCCCCTGTTTGGGGGGCGCGACCCAACCCTTTCCCATGCAGCTAATGGGTTGTACGGCATGGGAACACATTTCCTATGCGAAACGGCTAGGAGTAGTGAGTATTGATCAGGACCCCCTGGTCCTCCCACGAAACTATAGATACCGTTCACACAACTAGCAGCCTAAGAACACTCCTAAGGTACTTCGTTTGTCGTGATGATCTGTTAGGCTCCTAGGGAAGGGGATAGGTCTAAACTCAGTGACTCATCACTCTAATCATGAATCTCTAGGCTTTTCGTATTAACGGTTCATAAACATTATCTTAATGTGCAACAACAAACATTAACCTGATGTGCAAACATCAACAGCTAGATATA